AACTGATTAATTCTAAACGTGTGCAGAATTTAGCCCAGAATGAGGCATAATTCCATGGAAATCCTACCCTTTACTGCTTATTTCTAGCTTACTCACCGCACACTCATTCTGTACTATGAGCCTCTGATTCAACAAAGCACCTCTGTGCATTCAGAACAGCATGCCACATTTCAGTATTTGTTTACCTCCCAAATCAAGCTGAAATCTCAAAAGTTCCCAAAAATTTCCATCTGGAAAGCTTCAACTAAAATCTTGACATTTCCTATTGAAACAAAATGTAGTGACTTCTTAAAACAGTATTTATTTTTGGAACACTGATTCAAAATGATAATTTGAATTCCAAATTGATGTTTGAGTTAAAATGTCATTTTAATGTCATTTCAAATGAAAATGTCAACTTACATACAAGAAGCAGTACCAGAAGTGTGAATCAAAATCCAGAGTGTTCTCACTCCTTAATGAATACACTAATGACTAGATAACAAAAGTCTCGCTGGGCAGAAACAGAGGTCACCTTTCATCACCTGTGTCTCACCATAACATTTTTTATGGTAGTACAAAAGCAAATCAAGTTGACATCCATACCCCTTGTCACACTACAGCTTGCGACCACAACATAGGTAGCATTAGTTTGAGCAGCTTTTCTTTGGTTGACATCTAAGGCAGAAGAGCACGAACAGCCCAGAGATGCCCACTGCTCTCCAGGGGCTTGAGGGGCCTGATCCTGCATGCCCTGGGAATTCCCATTCCCAGGCCACATAGCACTGGGCCCTTGATACCACCAGATCCCTTCCCAGGTTCCCCCCTTGTAGATGCATGCCCAGGGAATCTTCTAACAGGGGTTTTTCTGGGTGTGCAGATCTTGGCGTGGATCTGCCAAGGATTCCCTGGATTCCACACTACCCTACGTCAGGACCTGGGCCAGGAGCCTTGTGGCCCCATGCCTGTGTGAAGCAGTGGTTGGCATGGGTCCCTGCACGGAGGCACAGGGTATTAGGGTTCCCTGGGTCCCACACAGCCCTCTACTGGGACAGCAAGGAGGCATGTAACAGTAAGGGACCCAGGGAATCCCCATGCAATGCAGGACAAATGATGATGTGTGTTTTGCCCAATGAAATGGATCAGCTGTGGAGGGATGCATCCTGCCACAGCTGATCTGCTTTATTTGGTAACCTCTCTTCCTACCCTTACTTCTGTTCCCTCTCTCTGTATCCCAGTGAATCTTGAATCCTTTACTTTATAGTGGCACAACTTCAATAGGACTAAAGAATGTTCATCCCTTAGCAACCTACAGCCTGGTGGTTCAGGTACTCTCCTACACTGGAAGATGCGAATTTGAATCACCTCAGGCAAAGAAGAGACCTACAGCCATGCCTCCCACTTCTTGGGCCGGAAATCTAACCACTAAGCTGCTGTGCACAAAAGGGCACTACCACCAGCCTTTTCTTATCTAAAAGGCAAGGATGTTTTTGGGAATGTTTTGGTGAAAAAATCTTTGCTTTGCACACATTTCCTGGACCATCGTGTCTATTAGACACTCCTACCTTTGTAGAAAAGGATGCTTGTAAACAGACTTTGGGCTGTGCCTACAGGTGCCTGCTTGCAACTCTGAATCATGCACCTACCTTTCAAAAAGGAGCAAGATTTAAGACAAGCCCTTCTCTGCAGCTGGTAATTCACATGACTCCCTGCATTCAGGTGTTTTAGGCTTCAACTATACTACAAAGCTCTGTCAGCAGAACTCTAGCTGTTGGCCACAGAAGCTTGTGTGCACCTATATACAAAGCTCCTATAAGACAGCGTGGAACACCTTGTCTATACAAACTATGTTATATTACCCCACCGGCATCAGCAGAAGGGGTGTGTAGACAATCCCACGGTTTTGCCAGGTTTAGCAGCAACCCCACACTTCTTTGCACCACTTCCTCACACCAACTCTTTTGGACACCTGCTTCAATGCTACTGTTCAAAACTCAAAATGGAAGTCTGAACCCCTTCCTTGAAATGCAACATGACACTTTGAAAACCCTCTCTGCCTCCCAGCACATGTGTGAGATGTGCAGGATGTCTACCAATCTACCGTGGTCTAGAGGTAGAGAGGAGAAGGAGGAGGGAGGTTTTCAATATGCTTAAGTTTTCGAATAAGAGTGGTATCCAATCACAGCTCTGTGACAACAGGAAAAACCAACACATGTACAATGAGTTCATGGCAATGACACAGGCTAGAGGTTATTAGAGAAGCAGCAGTTAATGCCAGGCCAAACAGAAGACCTTCAACAAGCATACCAGGCGGTCTTCCATAGTAAAAGTTAATGGATTTCCTGGTGATGTGCATCCTCTTTTATGACCTGCTTTCAATCCTTGTTATGGATCCCATCACAACAGCTGGCCATAATGGTGGACAGCTCTGAAAAGAACCTGCAGAACCATGAGGAAGGACCAACAACCTCTTTGATCAAGAGGAAGGGAATAAGGATTCTGACTCAATTCAATTCAACCAGTTTCTTCTGCTCTCCCATGCCCAGAACTGGTGTTTGGTGATGCACAGGTTGCCTATGACAAACTCTATAAGCTTGAAGATTGTATCCACTGTTTGGTCTCTATCCATTTTTTCTGCAGCTAGCTAGAGTTGCTGCTTCTTATTCCTACCATTAAGGTAGTGCACACAAACACATACGCACACACATGCATGTCTGCATATAAGAAAACCATAGCTCACAAGGAGAAAGGATTCAAACACCCTAAAAAGTCATTCAGAATCTAAGCTGGGAGGAATAGGGAAGGGTACCTCTGTTGAAAACAGAAGGCACAGACACAAAAAACCAGAGAGCAGAAAAAAATGCACCGTGGGCAGAAGATTTTGCTTAGCTACAACTCTCTCAATGAGGCTGGGCTATCCCATAATTCTGCCCACTTCTATTCAACAATGCACTGGCCTGGAATGTGCTTTTGTGGTCACTAGGAAGCTTTCCCATGGGGTTCTGTACAATCAGCCAGCAAAGCCGCTTGTGGCAAAAATGCATGACACTGGTAGAAATGCAGTGATCTGAACATGCAGAAATGCGGTGGTCTGCACCCTGAACAAGGGTGGCTGATGAAAAGTAACAGAATTTCTGGCCACAGAAACATCAGTGTAGACATGGACTTAAACTGCCATTCTGTTGTACCTAACTCTCCTGAGGGAGAGAAGTATATGGAGTGAGTGGCTAACACAGGGCTCTCAATTGCAGTGCAGGGGCCAGGTGTGTATAATTTAGGCGCTATAATGACTAAGTTTTAGATTCTTAATTGGAGCCAGAACGAGGTCAGTGGAAACATCAGTGGGATGTGCCACGGGGCCAGACAGCACATGGGCCAGGCAGGACGAAGGGACCTGCTGGAAGCTGGACAAAGTCCTTCCACTACCTGGAGCCTGCACCTGGGCTGCAATGTGGCTCCTCTCTATTGCCACTGCTGCCCCACTGGGTGGTTCAGGGGGGGCACTGGTGACAGTGGTGGAGCAGAGTCACAGGGCTCTGCATGGCTGCAGCAAGAAAGGCCTGTCAGTGGCAAGGGGGAGGCAGGTGCTTTTCCCTTTGCCCAGCAGCAGCTTCTGCCTGGCCACCACCGCTGCTCATCATGGGCAGGCTGTTCCAGAGCAGGTCTGGGGTGGCCGGGGTCAAACCTGTGCACTTAGGTCCCAGATGGTTCAGAGCGGGTCTGAATACATAAAATTTAGCTGAAAAGTTCTGTCTTCCAAGGCCTTGACTATTCTCTCATCTCCTTTCTATTGTTTCAACATCCCTTCCCCTGATTTCCACTCTCCCCTTTAGAGAACTGAGCTAGATACCTCTCAGCTGCTACTAGCCATTTTATTATCTAGCTTATTCAATGAATATTACAATTTGGATGAAAGAGTCATATGCATAAACACCAGACTACATGTGAACACATCACAGTCTACTTCCCAATCTGCAAAAACCACCTCATGTTTCTTAGGTCCGATCCCTTAGTTCTCTGGTCACTTGCTTAATCAATCATCAACAGAGACTGATCCTACTTCTGTTGAAGTCAACAGTGACCATCCCATCGGCTTCAATGGCATGGGATGACTTTTTTAAACACCTTCCCACTGTATTTCATTGATCTTTCTAGTAACTATATATGCAAAACATTTCATTACCATGTTTTCCTGCATATAAAACACTTCCTGTTTTTGGAAGGCCCCAAGAAGTAAACAAAAAAATTATCCTGGAACATGGTTAAGTACTAGAAGTCTGGGGTCTTTTGGACCCGGAGATGTGGGCTAAGGGCTGAACAGCGGGACCCGATCCAGCACTCTGTACAGGACCCCATTTGGTATTCTGCGCTGGGGCCTGATCTGACACACTGCGCTGGTGCAGCATACCAGGTCTGACACTGCACACTGGCTCTGGGACCACATACTAAGTTACACCAATCTCATGCAGCATCTCAATCCAGTGCATAGCTAGGGAGAGGGACATCTCATGGATCCAGGAATTTGATGGTGGGGAGGTGGAAAAGGTAGCAGCGGCAGTGTTAATTGCTGTGACTCCCAGGGCCGTGGCAAATTATACTACTACTGCTCCATTCACACTGTGCCCCACACTGCCCACCAAATTTCTGAACCCATTGGAAGTCTTTTTTTTTTTTTTGCACATAATGCATAACCCAATCTTCCCCATTTGGTTTGGGGAGACAGGCACTGGTTATACATGATAAATTACAGTATTTTCTTTCTGTTTTCCCACTAGCATATATTTATTATGCCTACACCTTCTTGTCACTTTCTGTCCATTAGTTTAAAGTGCCATTTCATCTTGTCAGTAAGGTTCCTTGCTGAGAAAGACTGCTTGTCAATTAGATGAGAAGGCCACTGGCTCCTGAAAAGCCCCACTACCAAACCAGCTGATGTAACTTTCTTTTAAATGCAAAACATACTACATTCTTGTGTTTCCATTTTCCACAAACTCTACAGCATAATTATTTATATACTATACCTCATCAAATTCTTCAGTCATTTTTCTAATGATTTCTGCATTCTGCATGTTCCTGAACATTTCAATTCTTACAGTACCTGTGAAATAATGAAGGAACAATTATACTTAGCAGTGGGACACTTTACATCTGTATGTTAGTTACTCATAATATCAATCTTTTAAAGTTTCTCCACAGCTACACAATTTGCAAATTGGTTTGAAAGCTTATACAGCAATAATGTTACCAAAAAACATTCTGAATAAGACATCATAGAACCGTGTGCCAGCAGAAGAACCGCAGACTGATCCAACATGAGTCAGAAGCACTTTCCCGTGTGGGGCATGAGATCCCATAATATACCAGTTTGTGGCTGCTCGTGGAAAGGTTAACAATTCCAAAACATTTTTTTAAAAGTGGATATAAGTCAGTTGTCCAGGGAACCATTATAGTATTGGTTGTTATAAAATGCCGTATATTTCTACCAATACAACTGAGCCAATTTTACAGAGAACTCACTGAAAAACAATAAATGCAAAAGAAAGCCACTTGACATTTTTGCAAATAGTTTTCAGAATAGAAAAACATTTCAATTTCTTGAGTAAAATCAGAGGAATAGTATCTTTTGATTTCGTATCCACTAATGTACTAAACATCCATCTTTTTTGAAGTAAACAAACCATTAAAACCGGCATGGTATAATACACAATGTTAACTATCTTGTTGATAAAGAATAAAATCAACATAAATAAATTAAATGGCTTAACATAACATTAATGCCTTCCAACCTAAGCAATCTTAAACTAGGTTATGAATAGTGTACAATGTAGTGTAGAGAAAAATTGCCTTCCACTCAAGTGGAGTGAGCTCTTGGGTATAATTCAGAATGTTTTTTGTGCTTTGCGCTACATAATTTTCTGAAAGGAAATAAAGGAAAATGCAAATTAAAACAACACCAGAAATTATAAGTAGCCAAATGTCTCACCCATGTTTCAATTTAGTTAATTACATTAGGGACAATACCCTTACTCTTGCAAATCTCCACTGGATCCCATGACTATAGTTTCATACCTCTGTGAAATTCAGAATTGACGGATAGAAGCCTAATAACCAAACCAAACCAAACCAAACCAAAAAACACAATGCAATTCCATTCATAAACAGTTACATTTAAGAGCACATATCTGTAATTTACACATAATTTCAATATCCCTGTGATGCTTAATATATATACAAAGTATTGTACAGGAATTTTAAAACATGGAAACATGCTGGTAAGAGTCCCTAGCTGGATTTCCATATCTTAAAAACGTTTGTGTTTCTTTTCGTTTCAACTTAACGCTGGGCGCGTCTACACGAGACACTAAAAGTGCAGTAGACTAATTCTACTGTGCATTAACACGTCAGGTGAAAGCTAGACTAACACACCACTGTGAAAGACTAATTCAAGTGTGCGTTAGCATTACTTACAAGACATGTGTAAACACTACTGTGCAATTGCACCGATTACCATGCATAAAGTTATTACCTATTACAGATACTAGATTTAATGTGCCATAATTACGATCCTATTAATGCACACGTAGATGTGCCTACTAGGTTTCTTGTATTTATAAAGCTTGCTCCCAAAATAATTACACTTCTCCTGTTTACATTTGTAATCCTGTTTTGTTATGCCTGCTGTAATGGTAACTGTGTATTTTTTCTCTCCATTCCCTCATTAGCAGATGTGTTTAGAAGTTTGGGGGCTACTCACACCTGTTTCTACTGCTTGTAAGCCTGTTTTAGCCTTGGAGCTAGTACAGAGCAGGTAGATCAGGTATGTGTGTCTGCAGACCCTCCCTTCCAAAACTAATCAGTCTTTAGACACACAAGTGTTGCAAATGGAAAGTTACACAAAGGTCACTGAGGGAGCAGCACTCTCTGTGAGCTGTGGAGAGATCTGCAGTTGAGATGACCCTCAGTCCCAGGAGAGACAGTACATGAAAATCAGGAAAGGGCAAGAGTTACTCCCTGGAAGGCCTTGAGGGCTATCAACTTAACAGCAAAGTAGTTGGGAGCACAAGTTCCTGTACTGGGTTCAGGCAGAAACCTGATATTCATTACATCTCAAAGAGCAAAATTGTTTGAGCCTGCTGTTGAGTAGGTCAGCTAATGAAAGAGCTGAAGAGGACAGGTGGCAGTAGAGCAACAGCACAATGGTGGCAACCCCTTGGTGGTAAAGTGGCACACTCCAGCAACAATACCAAGCAGTAATCCCCAGCAGCGGGTGGGAGCAACTCCAGCGTGGACCTCCTTTCCTAGTAAATGCCACTTTGGCTGGTGTAGGTGGTCAAGCTCCTGGAGCAGGGCAGTCACCCTTAGTGGCAAGGAACAACAGGGTCCTTCCAGGGTGGGCCTTCCTAGCTAGCACCTACCACAGCTGGCTGGCACAGATGGTCAAGCCCCAAGACAGACAAGCCCTGTGTGAATCTCCCTTCCCAATTGACTGGGCTAGGAGGCAGCTGCTTGGGTTGGTTTAGATCTAAACCCTATTCTACTTGAATGTTGCTTGAGGGGGAAGTTTGTTCACTTTAGAATAGAGAGTTAACATTTATTTTCCCAGGTTCCTAGGTGGGGGCTCAAGCCAGAACTAAAAATTTGGTGTTTAACCTCTAAATTTGAACCCATACTTTGTTACTGCCATCCAGTGCCTGCTGTAAGCATTATACATTATATATCTGAGATTCTTCATAGATAGTTTCAAACTTAATTCCACTATAACATAGCTGGTTGTCTCTTTTGGGGGAGGTGGGGTTGCACGAGGGGCTACGGACCCTAAAGAAAATGGTAGCAGAGATTACCAGACAGATAATACCAACCTGAAGTCTTTATATCTATTTAGTTATATTTTAACTTTTTCTCTCTTGATATACTGTAAAAAAAATTCTTGTGGCTTGGTTTTAAGCTTTTACAGAGAGAACACATTGGTCTCATCAACTTAGGCTTCAGCAGTCTCCAAAATTACACACCCGGTACCAAAAACTCAATTCAAAGGAATAGGGTTAGATGTTTATGCCCCCTACATGGGCATGGAGAGTTGTATGCCCTAGAAGAGCAATCCACCAAAACTCACGTTCTGAGAGGAATCCTCCTGGAGCTAGCCAATAGGACGCACTGGGTCCACGGGGCTGTCTGAACTACCATCTCTCTGAAGCACGGCTGTCTGATTCTAAAAGCTGTATATTAGGAACTACCACCCACTGGGAATCCTGTAGTCTCTCAATAAAAAGTCCTAACTACCATGGCTATGTGAAGCTTCGGTCCCTGCATTGATCTGATGGCCGAATCTCTGAATCCTAATCAAATGAGAGGACCCTTTAATTTCTCTGAATCGAATCAGAACCCTCTGAATCAATTCAGAGAGATTCAATGATTCGGACATAGACACAACTTTAACTGTTTTTTCTACATACCTCTAGGTACCAGGTGGCTCATGAATGTTGCAATGCTGGGGCGCATTGAGTGTCCCACAGAAGCGTGGGGGGAGGTCCCCAGTGTGCTCGGCAGCAGACTCAGAAGCGGACCAGAACCACTTTTGGTTCACTTCTGGGTCCGCCAGGGAGTGCTCTGGGGGCCCCCCCAGCTCTCCCCCGACTCGATGTCTCTTGGGTTTGGGGGAGCATCTGGGGTCCCCCCACAGCCGATCACCAAGCTGGGGGGGCACAGGGCGCCCCCCAGCAGACCTGAAAGTGGACCACAAGTACTTCCGGTCCACTTCTGGGTTCGCTGCCGAGCATGCGACCCGACACCCCCCCCCCCGGGCGGTCCTGGGGGACGCTTCATCCTTCCCAGCATCACAACATTCATGAGCCACACCTGGTACCTTGAGTTTTGTAGAAAAATACATTTAAAGTTGTGTCTGTGTCCGAATCGCTGATCAGGGACAGTGATCCGAATCAACAAATCGAATCACTGTCCTTGATTCGGGCCGAACCTGAATTGAATACGGCCCACTTCACACAACCCTACTAACTACCAAACTAAACAGTAGTTGGGGTAAGGCATCTTCCAACTCTCCTTTTCAAGTTAGACTACTTTGTAGCCAAGGACAGCAAATAGCGAACTGAATGTTCAGGTGGAAGAGGGGAATTGTGGTTTATGGCCCCTGCTCCTAGGACAATGCATTTTACGTTAGACAGCCATTGCATAAAACACAAAAAGAGAGGGACCAAGGACTGTGAACCCAGGAGTCCCCCTTTTCCACTGAGTGCCCTAACCACCACGATGCAGAATCAGGCTTCCTCTTGCTTGCTTTCCTTGTAGGTCTAGGAATCCTGCACACCTTGCTACACAGTTGTCAAGCTTCAACAAGAGGGTTGCAGGATGCCCTCACCCAGACTATTCTATAACTTGGTTGCTCAGGAACTCTACGGGAGGTGAGAGATGTGGGTTTGAATCTCCTCAAGCTGAGGAGAGCTAGAGCCAAGGTCTCGCTTCCTGGGAAAGTGCCATAATCACTGCACTCTTCCACAAAAGGTCAGAGCCAACACCACCACCACCTACTGTGTTTCTGAGTGCAAGGAACTATGGATGCTGTGCTTTCTGATGGGCTCCATGCCTTCAGTGTGCCCCTTTTGTTTTGAGCTCTTTTGGGACTTTGACAGAGTTTAGACAGAAGCTAGGCTGAGCTGCTCTAACAGGACGGGTTTTGAGAAAAAGTGAAAGCCAAAGTTTATGTAACTTGGGATTCTTTCCCATACAAAACTGAAGTGCCAAACAAATTCAGGCCCCTAAGGAGTTTTATGGCCACTGATGTGAGGTATTCTGGGTCATGTGTTGTGACTCTACCTATCGACGGATGTAACCTGTAACTCCAAAAAGGAGAGGGGGAGCTGCAAGAGGTCCACGGATCCCTGTAGGAATACAAATCAGGCAAATTTCTGTAATTTCAACCCTAAATAAAAAAAGGCTGATGTTGCAATTATTTTGCTACGCTTGTGTCCTACAGGAGCAGGTAGATATAACAGTCACTTCAGGACAGAAGTTATATCCATATAACATCTGTCTATAGCAGGAGTATCAAATATACAGCCCGAGGAACCATGTCATCCAATGCGC